CTGACATGCCTGATATTGCTGCACATTAAAAAATAATCAAAAGAGATGGGCAGTTCTAAGACTTTGTTCCTTTTCCATTATTAGTAATCAAGAGAATTCTACAGAGTCACAGCAATAGAACGTCAGGTTGTAGAGTTAGGCTTTATCATTGTGCCTTCAGAGGAGAAGGACAAATCCACTTTGATACATGTTCCAAAGTTAAAATTTTATGTATTGATCAACACTCACAAGCAATATTCTTACATGGAAAGACTACTGCCATAACCAGCAGTACAAAGTTTGCAAAAATAAAAAAGAACACTTACTAAAAAATTATGTTTTGTTTACATGCTAACATCATGTACATTTAATGTAAAAGAAGTAAAATCATATTTACTTGATATGCTGGTCATAAGCCACTCCATTCAATCAGTAAGTTTTACAAGCAAATTATTTAAAATCACTAGTTAATGTCAAAGGCGCTGAATCGCCACAAGTCATAAGTCCTGTTTTTCATTTTGGTGTTTATATGCTTTGTCAACAAAACGGCTGCTGAATTTATTGTATATTTCTAACTAGAAACTAAAATCTTGCAATAATATTGTATAGAATCTATTAATCAGAATAAGTGATGTAATAGGTAATTTTCAAATGTGGGGAAAGGAGATGGATTATTCAAGCTACCTACCTACTCACAAGAGCTGCCTTTTATAGTATGTATGAAGACATTACATACTGCAGTCAAAAAGCTGTTCTATTTTCTTGAACTCAGCACTTGTATAGGAAAGAAATGGAAAATCTACATAGTTGTTTCACTCGCTATATTCTCACAAATCTTGAGTAAAAAGATTTATCTTAAAGTCATTAAAAACACATCAACCCTTTATAACTTAAGAATAATCTCTATAGGGATCAGTATTTTGGCATTAACACTAAAGTTTACTTCCTACAATTCAAAGTAGTCACTCCAAATATAAGATCTATGAAAACTTTGCACAAATAGAGTGTTATATAATCTATAATTGTTGCTGATGTGGCAACTACATATGAATATACACATTCCTATTTAAGGCATGGATCTAATTCTTACTCATGGACAACACTGTTAATAAACAAAGCAGTAGTTCAAAGTGCTGTTTCACAATTACTGTGAAAGAATTTAAAGTTTTTGCTGCCTACATGGAACAAAGAGTAAACACAAATCCCAAAGGGACACATACTTTGTAGTATTAGCTGATTTTTTTCCTGTTTTAATTTATGTATAATTTGTTTCTGCCATGTGTATACTAAAGAAACAAAATTCTAAAGTACTAGAGTTCTTGTGCGGGCATCAGCACTATAGAAATAAATGTGTATCTTTGTGTGTGTGTCGCTCTTTTACAAGCTAATATAGTATTTATTAATAACACTCAACTGTTCAATGAGTTATTTTATTTATATTATGAATTCCTTATCATGATTAGTTAATTTGCAGCTCAGAGTTTGAATGGACAGTGGTTTATGCAGTTTATTTTGCCAGAAATATTGAGAATTAAATCAAACAAGATAATCTTTCAAGACTATGCAGATGGAACAAACAGAAATCCACCTTACTAAACATTTTCTCCTGGCTCTAACACATTTACAAACATATTAAAGGACCTACTTGAAGTATCTTGAATGTTCAAATCATAAGCTTACAGGTAACTCACACAAGTTATTGGAAGCCTGATCTTTTCAATAGGTTAACAAAACTTTAATTAAGTGTCAAATACTCCTCTGCCCCATTGATGAATCTTCTTGTAAAACACATACACTTTCAAACACCTCTAGATTATACTGTATGTGTACACAGAGCTGATTCTCCTCTCAGATTAATGTAATTAGCATTGACTTCATTAAAATTAACAGAAGACTTACTGTGTATTTCAGAGTAGCAGTTGAGTACTTGGTCACATGTAGTATCTGCTAACCTACATGGCATACATTTCCCGTCTTCTAGCAGCACCACCCTCACACATATATTTGAGTTTCCTTGCAATCTCCCAGGACACTGACTATAATTATTTGCATCCATTGCCTCCATATTAACAGCAGCTTCTGTATTAGTATGCTGACAAATTGCAGAATAATCAATTGAGAATTGTTCAGCCATGGCTTTATAAAATTTAAAAAATTTTCTTCATTGTCCCCCCAGAAATTTCATTTTGAATTAAAGCGTCCAAAATCTTAGTAAGGTCATTCACAGAGGTATTGCACATTGCATCTGAAGGCTGTCCTGTCACTAGTAACATAGCTGAGCAGGGACATTACCATTGCTAATTAGTATCTAAAGTCTCCACTACCTACTATAGATTTGTATTTGCAGCTTACCTTTCATGTCTACTTGACAGTTTACTCATCTTTCTAAATTTCAAGTAGTGCAATGTAATTTCCTACCATTGATAATGATTTGCAGCCACATGGGATCACAGCACGACAGAGGATGCCCCTATAGTAACCTAGAAAAAAAGGGAGGGTAGTAGAACTGTTAAAAAAAAGTCAAGAAACTGTCTAAAAACAAAACTTTAATATGCATACTTTAAAAGTGAAATAGTAGTATGGAAGAAGGTATCTTGCACTGGAATTCAGTAACATTTTGTTTTCTTAGCACAAAAATAAATTAAGTGAATTATATAAAATTTTATTTGTGGGGTTTTTTTTGGTGTTTTTTTTTTTTTTTTTTCCCATTAATCCACCTTAAATTGGTCTTTTCCCTTTTACAAAGATGATAACAATTCAAATTCTTGTCCATTTTCCTCTGCTTCCATAACAATTGTGTATTTGGTTTCTCAGATGTGATTTTGCATACATTATCTGATTAAAAACAAAAGGGAGTAAAGGTGTAAATTGGCTGAATTAGATGATTTTAATTTAAATCTGAAAAACAGCAAAGAAGTTTGAATCGTCACCCCCACTATACACTATTGTATCAAACATAAGAAATTCTATCTATCAAACTCATGCAGTAGCAGCTGAAGATAATCTTACTAAAAACGAATCTAAGAGCAGGTGATGGGGACTCAGATGGAGGCCATAACAAACCACTGTTATTTGTCACTAAAGCAAGCAAAACAACAAAATCTCTCCTCTCTCAGAAAATGCAGCTGCAAAACACACACATAGCTTCTGAGCATTCTACCAACTTGTCAGATGAAGGGACAAAGCTGTATAGTTCTAACTTCAGGGATGAAATACACTATTTCATGTAACTACACTGCTGAAGAGAAATTCCAAACAATAAACAGCAAATAGTTTCCTAACATTTTGGAACAAAACTGATAGATAGTGTATTGCTCAAATACAGACAATATTTAAATAGTTAATGTTTTTTTTATACTACAATAGAGTATTTCAGATTAAAAGAAAATACTTCAGTACACCAGAAGTGAACCTCTGCCACCATGTAAAGATCTCTGCTGGCTCCAAGTGTAGATTCAGACCTCCACAGCTCTACAGTTTAACATTATGTAAGGAGTTACTTGTGGAAAGCACTGCGTGGACAAACTTTTTTCTCAGTATTGGCAAGAATAACTAGCACAATTATTCAGCCTTTCTGGGCTCTAAGAGTATATATTATTCTAGGGCCCTGAAAGTTTCTACTGATGCGAAGCAACTCTGCAATACAATCAAGTATCAATTGAAGAATTACTTAGTATGTGGAAGTAAACAAATGAGATTGATGAACATAGCTAAAAAGATCTTTCTTTCAAAGAATACTGCATGAAGAAATAGAATCAAAGAATCATAGAATGTCCTGGGTTGAAAATGACCTCATCTAGTTTCAACGCCCCTGTGGTGGGTAGAGTCACCAACCACCAGACCAGGCTGCCCAGAGCCACATCCAGCCTGGCCTTGAATGCCTCCAGGGATGGGGCATCCACAGCCTCCTTGGGCAACCTGTTCCAGTGCATCACCACCCTCTGTGTGAAAAAATTCCTCCTAATATCTAACCTAAATCTTCCTTGTATTCGTTTAAAACCATGCCAAATAGTTTTAAACAAACAAATAGTATTGTTGAATCATATGTAACCTGTAATGAGTATTTCTTCTGCTCCTCTGAAATTAAAAATCCACAAAAACTGGCGGCAAAGAAAAAAGTTATGTTCTTCTTCAAAAGAGTGATAAAAACTTGGGCAAACTTCATCCTGTATGAGTATGGATGTAGCGACAGCATTAAATAATAAGGAAGGGCATAGGCAGATTCATGACAGACCCTCGTAGTCAAAAGTACAAAAATATGTGAACTGGGTACATAATTAAATGAAACAAAATCCATACAAAGTTGGGATGTCCCACTTGTAGTATCTCAATCCATGTAACACCTACCTCTTCCACTGTTACATATTTCTGTTTGCCAAAATCTCTGTTTACTGGTTTCTTATTCCTTAATCTGTAAACTTTCATTTGCCAGCATCCAAACCACATGCTGTTTACTTTGGAAATCATCCCTTATTCCTAAATCAGGAAACTATCCCGAAACTTATTAATTTTTCTGCTCCAACTTCATTTTTTCCTGACTGTGCCCGACTGTTCAGTAGCACGCAGGAACTCTTCAGGAGGACACAGGACTGGGGGCAGAGAAGTAACCAATACCTCTCAGCTGCTCAGACGCTCTTTCTGGGGGTAGCACAATGAACAGCCAGACAAAATGTTTCAGAGGTCTTACAAAGTCTTTCAAGCTAATGTTTCTCAGAGTTTCTCTAAGAGAGGGTTGCATAAATGCTATTAATAAGAAAGAGTCAAAATATTTAATTCACGGTTTAACTGTATTTGATTTCATGTCATTATTTATGGTTTATTCCGTGCTAGCTTTCAAAGATCTATACGAAGAAGAAAACCATAAAGTCATAGAATGGCTTAACTCAGAAGTTCCCAGGCTGAACGAGCCCAGCTCCCTCAAGCTTTCTTCACGGGAGAGGTTCATGGGGCCACACTTCCCAAGCCTGTCCTGGTCTCTCTGCACGGCATCCCTTTTTTCACAAACCCTAAAGGCTCACTGGAGAAGACAAACCTGAATTAAGGCGCTTGCCTTGTAGGCTCTTGCACTGACGTTCTGACTGGAAAATATACTAAAATTCAGAAAGTTTTGCCTCATACAGATTCTGTGGTGCTGTACCGGGTTTATGCGGCGACGTTTTGCGGCGGGCAGCAAGGAGGAGCTGCAGGGACCGCCCCTGTGCCCAAAGCCGGGCAGCCTCCCCGCATCGCACCAGTGCCAGCCGCCCCCAGGGGCCCCGCCGCTGCACACAGCTGCCTCTCTGCCAGCACGCAGCGCCGGGGACGGGACTCGAACGGCTCTCAGCAGTGGGGCAGCAGGAGGCGACACACGGCGAATGGAGACGTTCGCGGCCACGAGCTACCGAGGCCATGCCTAAGGAAGTCGAACACCCCACCACAAGCGAGTCTCAGTCTCCGGAGCAGACCCCACGAGCACTAGCACAGCCTTCCCCGGGCGTTCCCTTCTCAACGCAACAGAACCTCCCGCGCAGAGCCATTTAAATTCGAGCCCTCAGCGCCCCCCCCCGCCCGCAGCCAGGTGTGCGGAGCTGTGCGCTGACGTCACACACACGCAGGACGGGCTGAGTTTCGCGCCCGCGTTCCGCTCTCTCCCTCCGGCCGCTCGATGCTGTACGCAGGCGCGCTCGCGCCCGCCCCGCCCTCCCCCGCGTGCACGCGCACGCCCCCTTCCTCTCCCTCCCACGGCGCTGTGGGCTGTGCGCGCCGCCGAGAGCTCCGGACGGGCGGGGGCGGCGATAGCAGCCTCGAGGAGCGCGGAGCGGTCGCTTCCGCCGGCAGCGTGTCTCCGGGGACGGATCGAGGGAAGCCTCCCCCTCCCTTCGTTGCGGGGCTTTTTAACGATTTTGGTGTTTTTTTGTTTGTTTGGGTTTTTTTTGCTCCGCTCTCTCTTTACTTGCGCGTGAGGTAAACGTGGTGCGCGCTGCCAGCGCTTCAGGTGGGGAAGGAGGGAGAAAGAAAGCGGGCGGGCTTTGCTCCCCCGCGCTCCTCAGCGTCTCTCCGGAGCTCTCCGCGCCCCGCTTCTCCCCGCGGCGAGGTACGCAGCCCCTGCCGCGATGGGCTGCACGCTGAGCGCCGAGGACAAGGCGGCGGTGGAGAGGAGCAAGATGATCGACAGGAACCTGCGGGAGGACGGCGAGAAGGCGGCCAGGGAGGTGAAGCTGCTCCTGCTCGGTAAGGGCCGAACTGCGAAGCTGTGAGAGCCGAGCGGAGGGCGGCGGTCCGCGGAGGTTCCCCAGCATCGCTCCCCGCGGAGCGGCGGCGGGGCGGGGGCTGCGCGTGGCGCGGGAAGGGCGCGCGGGGCTCCTCGGAAGCGTTGGGGCGGAGGGGGGAGCGCAGGTGGGCGCGGCGGGGCTGCGGGCCGGGCCGGGGAGCGGTTCCGAGCGGCTGGGGCTTTGTTTAGAAATGGCCCCGGCTCCGCGTGAAGGGAGTGAGATCTTGAACTTCTGATGTGAGTTCCGGGTACTTCGGTTCCGAGGAAGGGCTTAAGGGAATTTCAGGTTGGGGGATGTTTGTTTCGTGTAGAACGCCCCCTTCTGAAGTGTTGGTGTGAGAGTGAAGTGGAAAAAGCGTCAAAGGAACACGAGGCGCCGTCTGACTTCTTGCGTTGTTTTGTTTTGGAAGTTGGTTACGTTGCTGAACTTTTACAACATAAGGTCAAACCTTGATGGGTTATAAAGTGTGTAATAGAGCGGATCACTGGAATAGGGCGATGAGGAGCTGCACAGAGAAGCTGTGGATGCCCGACCTCAGGAGGTGCGCAGGGCGGGGTTTAATGGGGCCGTGGTACCGATCTGGTGAGCATCAGTCCTGAGCAAGGCAGGGGGTTGGCACTGGATGGCCTTTGAGGTCCCTTCCAACCTAAGCCATCCTACGCTTCCATGCTATCCAGTCTTCCTGATTTTGCTCACAAGTTCTTGGAGCTAACAGCTTTGCGTATTTCAAGTGATGTGTTTGTGTATAAAGATAGAGGAAGTAAAATTACTGCTAAAAATCACTGTGAAAGAGGAAGCAATATTTAATTAGAAATGCCTTTGTGCAGATCTAAAGCTGTTGTACGTGTTGTGGGCAGCTAAATCCTGCAAGATGTATGTTGTATTGATGTTACGGGAAGTTTTGTGTTATGCTTTATAGCTTGACTGCACTGGATCTTTCTAACCCACACTTAAAAAACATACATATACAAAAAAAAAAATTTGGAGTTTTAATTTTCCTTGTGCTGCCCTTCCTGAAGCTACAGTTCCAGGTATGGTTTCTGGTTTTTAAAATACTACCCAATTTTCTCTCCTTCATAAATTTGTTTTCCTTGAGTGCTCATCTACAGCATTCTGTTTAGTACAAATCTCACTGTAGTAGAACTCAGTAACTTCTGTCTGTTGCAAACTTGGAAAATAGCTCCCAGCAGATACAGGGAACTGAAGCACTTCCTTCTGTGTTTATATGAAGAAACAAAACAAGCCTAGTATGGGTAAGGCAAACTTCTGAAAATATATGTATAGATTTAAAATTCTGCATATGAGGAGAAGAAAGCTTTTCTGTTTGCTTTCCAGAAAGTGTTAGGATGTTGGTTGGTACTGTGCTCAGTCCTGTGCAACTTTGTAAGCCTGGAGTCTGTTGCGTGGGAAGGTTATCCTCTGATCAATAGTAGTGTGCTGCAGAAAATGTCCTTTTTCAAGAGTCAGGGAGTAGTGCTTTGTATATGCTCTGACAAGGCACTAGAAATAATTTTTCAGAGTTTTACTGTTCTGTACTGAACTTTAAATACACATAGGTAGTAGTTATGCTATTCTGTGGATGTGGATAAAGTCTTCTACAAAATTTCTATTAAACTTGAGACTGAGCTGTTTTCGGTGGCTTAATATTCTTGTGTACAAATTTATATGTTAGTAGCTTTTTATATGAATTCTTTCTGATACAGATAAGCTTTTGAGGGATTTGTTTTCTGCTGCAGTCTACTGAAATCTTAGGAAATGAAGCTAATGCTCAAATACATGCATTTCCTCACATTACGACTCAGTGTAACATTTCTCCTTCAACTATTAAAACGTGAAAATGAGCAGATGAAGATCTTTTAGGGCCAGAGCTCAGAGTAGGGCTTTATATATACATCTATGGATACATTTATGTATTTCAGATCCTAATGGAAGCTTTTCTGTTCTATTTCCTGTGTTAGCTATCCTAAATGTTATATGGATGCTTTATCTGATGGAAAAACTATTTTAAGTTACTTCCACTAGAGTCATTTTCTTCTTGCCACTCATTTTCCCAATCGCTTTTTCTGCCCATATGTTGTAGTTTATCATCAACTCAGTTGTATTCCGGCATCTATTTATGGGCTTGTTCTACTAAAAAGATGCTGAAATAAAAGGAAAAAGAAAAGTTGTGGTCTGCTGACAGGAAGATATGCCATGTGAGAAGCATCTGAAATACCTTGCTTATGTAGAAAAAGAGTGTGTAGCTCTGTGCTTAGTTCTCAGTAAGGGAGTTGTACTTCAGGATCTGTAAAAACTATTTTTGTATGGTGATTAGAGAATCCTAGTAAAACTTGAGTTAGTGTGTTCAACTGGAGGATATGTTTATAAAATTAGTCTGTTTCTGGCTTACAATGGAATTAAATTAAAAAGCTTTTCTAAAGGTTTTTCTAAACCAGGAAATATCATTGATTTGAGGGAGTTGTGATACTGCTGTGTGTAAATCATGACTTTGTGAATAATATCACTGATCTGTGGTAGATTCATGTTTTGTTGTTCTGTATCTAGGAAGAAGCAGTCAGATTCAAGCTGTTGTAAACACTGTTGGTTTGAATTGTCTAACTTTTTAAAAACATACTATCTGTAAATCAGTACTGCATTTTGTACAGGTTTGACTGTAGATCATACTTCTGTTCTTGGAATAAAAGTTTTGGATTTGGACCAATGTTTGTGAAAAATATTTTAACCTTGTAATTCACTTCACTGTTATATGCTAACAGCAGGAGAACCTTTTCTGGAAAATTTGAAAACCATCTTCATTATTAGAAATAAGCTGAACTTCAGCACGTAGCTCATGAGCCAGCTGGAAAATGTTTGTATTTGGAGCTTGGTGATTTTTTTTTTTTTTTAGTTGTAAATTATTAAATAAGCTTCTTTCATTTAAATGGCTTTTATCCATATGTCTCCTGTTTGTGATGAGGGGTTCTTTTGAGTTTCCATGAAATGTGCAGTCCAGTATGGTGTCCAGTGCTGAAAAATTTAACATTCCAAGTACTTTTCTTTAAGCCCTTAAAGTTTGTATCATTGGTATTTCTTAAACCTGCTTCATGATTACTTAAGGTAATGTTTTGTTTTACCATTGTTCTTTCTCAAAGATAGGCTCGTATATCTATAGAGTAAACTATATTTCTGAAAAACTGTGTGTATCTTCTATCTTGACTGCCTTCCAAGAAAGGGAACCAAAGGAACCAAAGTTTTTTTTTGAACTTTCTGTGTTCGAAGCAGGGGGAGGATGTGAAGAAAATACTGTGATGCTTGCAGAATTAGTGTAATACTACTCATTTCAGGAGGTGGTGGCTCTTTGTAACTTGTCTGTGTGCTGCATTAACATACATGTGATCCTGATCAGGTGTGGATTTGCAAGTACGTTTCAGTTGAATTAGCCAAAGCACATAAGACTGAATTCAATGCCAACAGCAGGAGAACAGACAGTACCTCATTTAGTAGAAAGCCTTCTGGTATGAGGTTAACTCATTGAGTTTTATGAATACATTCAAACTGGCAGCATGAGTTTACAGGATTAACACATTTATCTTGTGGATCATTGCATTTTTAATCTAATACAATAAATTAAGTGCTGGCCTTCTCATTATCACTGGAGAAGGCAATAGGCCTATTCTTTAGGAGAGGATTCTGGGATCCACGAGACCACTGATCATGTGTGACAGCTGAAGTTGTCTTCTTTCTGAGTAGTCAGACTTCCAGGGACTTTGTAGTCGTGACCAGCAGAGCTTCTATGTTCCTTATCAGATTCTTATGGTTCATGCTCAAACACTGTTGCCATGTTCTTAAAAAAAACTTATTTTTCAGTTTAGGCAGAGTATTCTTCTTTTTTTTTTTTTTAATTGCAGTTCTCCCTGCTGCGGAAGGCACTAAAATTATATTCAGTTCTAAATTTTCCCTTCTCAAACATTCTCTTCTAGCTGCTGTTCTTTTGTTTCAGACCTTCATATTTCTGCTCAATTGACTCCCACTGCATACTCGTCTTTCCCGCAGCGTCATCTTCACAGTCCTTGGCAATACACACTTTCTTCCAGACCTGACTGCACAATGGACTGAAAAAATATATGTATGTATGTGTGCATTATGTACCATTCATTTTCTTGCCTTTTCTCCGGTGTTTTCTTTCTCCATACGCAGATAGATGTCTCAGTTACTGGAGATCTCAAAGCCTTTTTCTCACAAACACATATTGCACCTTCCAAGAATTTTTACCTTTTCTTTGTAAGTTATGCCAACCTCTATTGTAGTGATCCAAAACATTCCTGGCAACATTTCCTGCCTGACCTTCAGTCACAACTATCTGTAGAAATTTAAGTTCATATTTTATTTAAGGCTTTGTTATGGGATAACTAAGAAGTGTTTAATTCTACTTTTGGTTTATTATAGAATATTTCATTTGGAAGTGACCTACAAGGATCAACTCCATTTGCCCAACTATTTCAATGCCATCCGCAAAATATATTATTAAGCGCATTATCCAAATGCATCTTGAACACTGTTGGGTCTGATGCAACAACCACTTTCTGTGGTTGGTATTTGAAGCCTGTTCTGGTATTTGACCATTGTCACAGTAAATTTTTTTTTTTCCTCACGTCCAATCCGAATCTCCCTATGTGCAACTTTGTACAGTTTCCAGGTGTTTACTGGGGAGAAAAGAATTGCTGAGGAGGAGAAAAGGACAAGCCAGTTGCACAGAACAATGACATTGTTGCTTCTCCTCCTATTCTCCAAACAGGACAACCCAAGCACCCTCAGCCTCTCCTCATGGAGCATGCCTTCCACCCCATTTAACCAGCTTTGTTGCCCCCTGCTCCAGAGACATTTGAGGACCTTAACGTACATCCTTTTTGTGTTACAGAGCCCGTATAGGCACATGGTATTTGAACTGCAGTGCTAAATGTAATGGGAGAGTTACCTCTT